TCACAAATGCCAAATTTTGTATTGATCTGCAGAAATGAATAGTACAGTACAGGTTTTGGGCTTTTTGCAAGTCACTTTAAAATTTAATTAGCGCTCTAATAAAACATGTCACGGAATATTCTGCCTGCGATCGATCACAAGTACGTTCTGTTTTGTGTTTGTTTACCTATGCTGAGCGTGAAAATGGGGAGAAGAGTTACTTAAATTTTATCTGTTATTTTTCTCCTCTGCTCTTCACTAGTCCAGTTACCACAGCCGTCATCCAAAGAGGAACTCTGAGAAAAGGCTGTGTTCTGGTTGCAGGGAAGACCTGGGCAAAGGTGCGTTTCATGTTTGATGAGAATGGCAAAGCTGTAGATGCAGCCTCTCCAGGCATCCCAGTGGAAATCATGGGCTGGAAGGAAGTCCCTTCGGCAGGAGATGAAATCCTTGAAGTAGAATCTGAGGTACAGAAAGAACTCTTTAATGGAAAACTTACACTGCAGTAAGGTGGATGGGAAGGAGTTGAGTAAAAAACAAGTGATAGCTTTCATTCTAAATAACCTGGATAACGTGATGAAAGACAAAGGGTCATAACATGGGTATTAAGAGACCTGAGCTAGGTGTTCTGTAAGAGGAATGAGGATTTGCATATTGACTCTTTATTTTCCACTGCCCCCACCTCTCCCCTGCCGGACTGTCCTCTCCTCATCTCCATGCATCCAGGTTAACCTGCTTTACAATCACATGAAGAAAGCAGGCTGCCTCTGGAATTAAAGATGAGTCACCTTTGGTTCATGCGTCTGCTTCTGATGGTCATCCTGCCGTCCTCCATGCTTTGTTTGCAATGACTGCAGTCCTGAATGGCTTCTGCTGGGGTAATCTGGGATGTGTTCTAACATGTTCCCTTTCTAAAGGCACAGAAGACTTATCTTTTATATGATCATGCTATCACCCTGCCTGGAGAACAATCTGGTACTTAATGGTATCAGCGTTTTAATTTTAGAATGAGAGAACTAGTTTCTGACAAAAGAATATGCATAAAATGTAGCTTGAAATAGGTGTTGTGACAGCTGGACAAATACCACATGAAAGAATGAACAATAATTCTCTTCTTCAGTGCAGAGACCATAAAAATAGGCCTTGAGTCATGTTGTTGTAGCCCAGGGAGGAAGCTAGTGTGCTCATTCTCTGCCATCCTTGCAGCAAAATCTATTGTTAGATGTGAAAGAAAATGAGTGAGAGATGCAAAAGGATGAAACTGCATTAATGTGGAGTTTTCTGATGCGGTGCTTTGAAAGGTAATGTTTCTGTCTCTTTCTGCCCAGCAAAGGGCGCATGAAGTTGTGGCTTGGAGAACCTATGTTGAACAACAGGAGAGGATGAAAAGGGATGTGGAAGTTATTGAAGCAAAGCAAAAGGAGCACAGGATGGATTATGAGAAGAAACAACAGAAGCTAGCCCATCTGACCTGGAGACAGAGGAAGGCGGTGCTGTACAAGGCCAATAAGCATCTTATGTTTTCAAAGCCTAAAGAGAGAACAGAGATGGACAAAAATGTGCTATCGGTAATTGTTAAAGGTGCTGTCCTATTCTGTTTACTGCTCCATTGTTCTTGTGCTTCTCAAATGCTCAGTCTGAAGCATAGCTCTAAACTATCAACAAAATTTCTTCTACCAGAAGTTTGATCAGTTTAAAAGTGAAGAGATTATCGAACTTCTCTCAGTAAGGGGAGGGGCATCGGAAAACATCCAGTGGTCAGAAGGATGCACTTCCCGCAGGGCCAGAGCAACAGGAAAATTTAAGCCCAACCCTAAATTATATATTAAAAAAAAAAAATACCAGCTATATGAGCAGCAGTACTGCATCAGCAAAATGGAGGACAAGAACAATTACGTGTTAGTTAAAGTGGGACAGGAGGAACTTGGTCTGACCTCACGTTTAGTGATATGTAAGCAGTGATGGTAGTAACTGAAAAACTATGCAAACTTGACCTGAAAATGACAGCAGACATGGAGCCTCTGGTCCTATTGTATTTATTCAGTTCATTTTCTGGAACTAATAGACTTGTTAGATGTGTTTTAACATACAAATAAAAATATAGTAAGAATGATAGATGTCAAAAGACTTTATGTTGCATAGTGTGGAGTTGTCATTCCCTTAGTTCTACCTCAGTGTTTCTTTGATGTATACAAAGTCAGCAGTACTACCATTTTTACACGCAGGTGATGTGGATGGATCTATTGAAGCTATTCTGAACATTCTGGACAGCTATGATGCTGACAGTGAATGCAAATTGGATATCATTCATTTTGGAATGGGAGATATCAGTGAAACTGATATAAATCTTGCTGAAGCATTTAATGGTGAGTGTGTATTTAAAAATCAATTTACGATTAGTACAAACTCTTCATTGAAATGGGTAAGTCTCATTCTGGTTTTGTTTTCTCGTTAGTAATTAGCAGCATCAATAAGGCAGACTTATATGTATCTCAAAAACATTTCCTTTAACATCAAACAGTAGTGCAGGTGGGGAAGGCTAGAAATCTCATGGAGATGGAAGGACTCTTGACAAGCTGTTGCCAGTAGTTGAATTGTTAAGGTTGAACTCTGACTCTTCACTCGGGTTGCTTTATGATGCTCAAACAGGGCAAAGCTAGAAAAGTAGCTTACAAAAGAATTCCCTTTTGCTCAGGGAGGTAATTGGAAAGACTGTGTCAGTAGTTGTTCCTGTTCGTACACCGTAATTCTCACCTGCTGTAGAGGGTGTGGGGTCATTGGACCTGCCATAGTCCACAGTTGGATGAGAATGATTTAGAGTTCACTTCCAGCTTAATTTGGAAAACCGAGCTGGTTTTTCCAGCCCAAAAATGGGAGGTCCTTGTCCCTTTACGTAAGCTCTGGTGAGCTGTGCGTAAGCTTTAGTTTCTGCTTGGATACCTCCAGTTCTGTCATCAGGGAACTTTCTATGAGGGCTTTTTTGAGCCATTTGTTTTGATACAAGGTTAGTAGCAGTCGATGTGCAGTAGTGGGAGAAGTACATGGTCCCTCCTTAACAGGGAAGTAGTGGTAAAATAGTGTTTCTTGTTTTGCTGACCGCTAATTCTAACCTGTGCTGGAAGTTCAACATTACAGAATAGACACAGCAGATGCTTTCACTTACTGTTTAAGGAGTGATCTCTTGCAGTCATCACTTGCCGATTGTTTTATTTATCAGGTGTTATATTTGGATTCAGTGTGAAAGCAAATGAAAGTATTAAACAGCTGGCTGCTAAAAAGGGAATAAAAATTAAACTTCATAATATCATCTACAAACTTATTGAAGACTTGAAAGATGAGCTAAATAGCAGACTACCCCCGTCTGTGGTGGAGAATACAATAGGTGAGTTTTCATTGACTGTTAAATTTTTGCTTCGCAATGTGGCCAAAAGTTTATTCTCCAATGAAGTGTCCCTATTGTATCAAATATTTTTTATTCCTCTGTAGCTGCTTTTGTGTTTTGTTATAAAGCTCGGTAAGTGGAATAGTGTAGCTTGCTTCTACTTACTGCCAGTTTGTTATTCTCATGTACTTAATACAACTTTACTTTTTTGTTTTAGGGGAAGCTTCTGTTCTAGACATCTTCTCTGTAACGGTAGGAAAAAACAAAATTCCAGTAGCTGGATGCAGAGTACAGAAGGGGCTGCTAGACAAAAAAATGAAATTTAAGTTAATCCGTAAAGGGGATGTTATTTGGAGAGGTAAGTGTAATTGCCACAAAACATGTATTTGCATTCCGTATTAGACACAGCTAGTTCCCTGTGAAGTTAGTGCAAAATGCACGCATCTGCTCGTAGGGCAGTCCCATATGCTATTGAGCCCCTATGCTATTGAGGATGGAGTTGCTCCAACTAGAGAAAAGCTGCAAAATGTCACTGTACTGTTATCCAGACCTTCTTCTAACCACCAACTCTGGTAGGAAAGCAGTAGCATCACAGGACTTGCCTGCTGAAAAGGACTGATGTCTGACTGTCACTAGCTGCAAGTGCTCACAATCCCTACGTTTTCTTGCTTTCATTTTTGTAGCTACAAGGTGAAACATTAATTCTGTAAGAAGGGCAAACCAAAACCCTTCTATGCTCTGATGTTGGTGGGCTCTTTCTTTGAGGCACTTTCTCTTTGTAGGATCATTATCATCACTGAAGCATCATAAAGATGACGTCCAGGTAATAAAAACGGGTATGGATTGTGGATTGAGTTTGGACAAATACATAGAATTCAATATTGGAGATGAAATTACCTGTTACGAAGAAAAAGAAGTCCAACAGACAACTTCCTGGGATCCAGGATTTTAAAATACATTTGAATACATTAACACTAAAGGACATGTATTATTCCTGGCTGGCCTTCAACTCTTAACATTAAATGAACTTTCAGAGCTGCACGTGAGCTTCTTCATGTCTGATGTTTATATAACAATGTTCTGCTTTTAAATCTTGTCAAGCAACCAGCTTACCTCATTGGAACATGGGATAAACTACAACAATTAATTGCAAGCACTTCAAGTGTCTAAAACCATCACGGTATAAACACTTCCGATGACTGACTATTGGTTCTAAAATAGCTGAGCCATCTTTTTTTCTCCTCCTCAGTGCTGCTATACAATTTTTCAGTACGTGGTCTGCATTTTGTTAGCAGGACTCTACTACCCTTTTCTCTAGCATTGACCCGCTTGTAGACACGACTTTGGACCTCTTGATCTCCTGTTTTTCTGGATTCGAACTACTGTAGTGTCTACTCCTCTCATCTTTAAAGAGACCACTTCTAAGGTTAGCTAGTGTTGGGTTTTTTTTCTGCCATTGCTACCCATTATCTCCTTTGAAGGAGGCTTAACTAACCAAAGCCACTCTTTAAAAGAAGTTGCTGCTTCAGTTCCAGAGTCAAAGTATTTCATCTTAGTTGGCAGTCAGCATCCAGAGTTTCACAGATTTTTCTCACTTATCCGCAGACAGGAAATACAGTGCGACAGGAAGCAGAAATAAATCCTTAAACCGTACAGAACTTCAGATTTTTATTGTCTAGTACATTTACTTGTCTTCTGGTTTATTGAAGCAGTATGTCAGACAGCACTTGCCACAATAGTGTCTGTCGAAGTGACTAGCCATGAAGACTCCAGCTCCACACTCTTCAGAGGGGCACTCCCGGCGCAGACGACTGATCTTGCCATTCTCATCCACCTGGGAAGGGCAAAGAAGCAACATCTCATATATACTCGGCACCTTTTGGCACCAATGACAATTTTGGCAAAGTAGTTTTCGTGATAGTGACTACATCAAACTTCCTAAAGCAAAGTTCAGAAGTACCCAATTGCAACAGTCAGTTTCTCTTCTATTTAACAGGTGGGATATTTGTAAATAGAAGGACTTTAAATACACCAGGCTACGTGCAGACTAGTTACAGGCTTTACGTTCTTCCTGGTGAGAGCTAAGTTTTCATCAAGTTTCTCCTAGAGTTAGTTCTACATACCTTGTAGTACTTCAGCACTGCAAGCTTAACCTTCTTTCTCTTATGCTTGTTCTTCTTGGGAGTAGTGTAAGACTTCTTCTTTCTTTTCTTGGCACCACCACGAAGTCTCAGCACAAGGTGAAGAGTTGATTCCTGTTTGTAAAGCATGTGAAATAGACTCAAAAGGCTTTCTCAAGACAAGAGTAGCATTTAAGCAGGCTTTTCTTTTATCTACAGAAAGTAGATCTCAAGCACCAGGCAATTAGGAAAGCTCTGAAAGGATTATTCACTATTAAGTCTGCAAATGAACAGGCTCCAGAGAACAGTGGGCTGCTGCATCCCAAACCCTGGAAGGTTCAATTACTGTAAAATCTGTTGTGACTATATTCCTCAGTTCTAACTGCAACTGCAGAATAGTTTCATGATGTAACTAAGTTGACCCGACAGCTATTTGCTGCTCCTCCTCTCTAGTGGCACTCACTGGCCTCGCTGTCAGGTTAACCTGGCAGAATTGAGCAGGATTTTCCAAGTTAGCCCCCTAAAGCAGCTCACCACAGAGTGCCAAGTGCCAGGGCTGACAGAAGGGAAGCGCTGGAATTGGAAGCTGTTAGAAATGTTTTCTTCTGACCTGAAACTACAGACTGGGCTGCAGCAACTGTCAGGTCTACTCCTAGCATCAGTACTACCCAATCCTCAATCAATTGGTTTGGTTGAATCTATGTGAAGCGTTTCTTAGGCTCAACAGCAAAGGTCAGTCTGCTCCAATAGTGCCAGCTAGTTGGTACTACAACGCTCTGTTCGGCCTTTCCTACTCACTTTTTGAATATTGTAGTCAGACAGCGTGCGCCCATCTTCTAGCTGCTTACCAGCAAAAATCAGTCGCTGCTGATCAGGAGGAATGCCTAATGGTGACATAAATGGAGATTAAACGAGGAATGTGAACTATGACATTCTATAATAAAATAATACATCGCTGCAGACAATCACATCTGCATAAGATATGCATCAATCCAACAGAGAAGAGCATACTAACTGCATCTTGAACTTACCTTCCTTATCCTGGATTTTAGCTTTTACATTTTCTATGGTATCAGAAGGCTCAACCTGTTACGAAACAAAACAACGGAGTCAAAACGCATTTTGCCTTTTAATTTGCCCAGAAAAGCACAAGAACCATGAGGAGCTTTAGGCACACCACCTATACTGTCACGGCCATTTCGGCCTCCCCCGGGGCAGACAGCT